TTTAGAGCGATGGAAGTTGCATAGATATAAACTTCTATGCTGCTCACATACGTATGATTTGAATGACCAACTATCTTCTTTTATCAGCAGTAACGTGTGCTAGTGAACAACCAATGTTCTTGAACATTAGGAACGTTTAAAAAAACATTGGAAACAAATGTATGCAACCCATTGTTCTTATGGTGGATAACGGCGAAATAAAGATTTATTTCCATTCTATAAAAGAAACTCTTCTTGACGTAAAATCAAGCATTGAAAAGACCCAAATGCAACAAGAAAAGTAAAGAAATAAATAAGGAATTTATAGCAAGCACTCAAACTTTCACAAGAAACAGGAAGGACGATTACAGAACTACAGCCGATATAATCTTTCGCCCGCCTCCTATTACACCGAATGACAATCCTCGAAAGCTATTTTCGTTGCACTTTTTTTACCATCGCTTTTTGTAGTCATCCACAGACACACCGCCTGGACCGTAGGCAATAACGAGAAGTAAACCTGAAAGAGAAGATACATGATCTGCAAGATTACACAATAAAGGGAGGGTCATCACATTCAGCACTTCCTTACAGACTCATATTTTAGAAGCATTTTCAAATATTTTTACGACTTTTGATACAAACTGGTCTTGGAACTACGAAAAGTAATCGTGGTGAATGATCTCTTCTTCGTGTATGAATACATGTCATGAAGAAGAGAAAAAAGCGCGATCCTATGCGTCTTTGCATCGTTTGTTTGTATTGACAATCCCTTATACACTAGCGGAAACCGACGATATCGTTCCATTGTAGAAGACAAAATTTTCAATATCGATTAATGTAATAAGATGGAAAGTGGTATCAAACAGAATCAAAAAATGATAAAATGCACATTTCGAAGCATTTTAATTTACAAACAATAAGATATAGCTTTCTAAAATTTTCGAAAAAACATGTCTTTACGTCCAACAACCAAAAGCTATTTCTCTACATCAAACGCAACACCATATGCGCAGCGGAAGAAAATCACAAACCTCCGATTACAGACATTGTCTGGAAGAAATCATATTTCATGAAATCACGGTAGAAACGGTCTGAAGGAATGGTCCACCTAAATAGATCGACTGAAAAAATGATGGGTATCTAGTTTGAATAAAGGAAGATTACAAACCAAGCGTTCAGCCAAAGATTCAATCCAAACAGCCAAACAACGAGAAACATGGCTGATAGCTTCGTTTTATATCCAACACAAACTAACATGATCAATGCAAATCCGACTACAATTTCAATCACCTAAAACATTGAAAATAAATAAAGCCAGATAGTTGCCCAAGACCAACTTCAAAAATTAAGAGTCATTTAGTGCTTACCTGTAAAAAGCTCATTTCAAAGTGTAGTAGGGACGTAAACATGAAGATTAAAAGCACTCGTCCTGCTAGTAACATATAAGATTTTGGTTTGTTTGTATCACCCATTGTTGGCACTCCAGCAAAAAGCGAAGATTTTTCCTCTTGAGTTTCAGCTAGAAGCAGAACAATTCCTCCACCAACAGCTACGTTTCTAAAAAAA